GAAGCAGAATTAAGATTCCTTGATATAACATGAGTAGATAATCTGAAGGCCAGAAGAACATTTAGAAAGTCAGAGGACTGTAACATGAAAAACTTGTAGCCAACAGAAAGGGCTTGTTCAAATTATAGTGAGTGCCGGTTCACATGGAAATGCTCAAGAAGCTGGCCCACTTTCACTGAGTAGTCCAGCATTAGCTGTATTCCAGCTGTTCTGTACTAACTCAGTGTCCCAGTGCTTTATTTAATTTCCATTGTTTTGCAGAAAAATATGTTAACCTTCTGTCTTAGCTACCTTCTGTTGCTGTGATAAAATATCATGACCAAAAGCAACTCATGGAAGTTTACTGCGGCTCACAGTTCAAGCCAAGAGTCCATAACGGCAGGGAAGACGTGGTAGCCCATGACCAGAACAGGAAGTGGAAAGATCACATCTTCAATTATAAACATGAAGCAAAGAGAAGTTGAACAGGAAGTAGGGGGAGGATCTAAGCCCGTAAAACCCACCTCTAATAACGTACTTCCTCCAGCAAGGCTGTAACTCCTAAATTTCCCACACACAGTATGTTCTAATGCATGAGCCTAGGGGGACATTTCTAATTCTAGCCACCACACCTTAACATTTTTTAGAATGCTAAGTGATAAAGATATAACTTTCTATTGACATATGCTCAAGAAAAACTGTGTTAGGAGCTGCCATCTTGAAAGGTTGGTTTTAGTATATTCTTGAATATATCTTAGAAAAACTCTTCATTCAAGCATAGGACTGCATATGGAATATTCACAAAGAATAATAGTTAACTGAGGAACACAGATCATTCGCTGGAAAAACTAGGCAACTTTCTAGCTTATGTGTATAAACATCACTAAGATTAAAGCAGTTGTAGTGTTAGACTTGGGGCAAGAGCACTCCAAATGCACCCCAAATGCCCAATAACCTGTGTGGAGCCAGTTTCTCCAGGACGTGGGCTTGCAGGCCTTTCTAGGTGTTTCCAATGTGAGATGGCTGAAAGCCTTGGAATTCTGTCTCCTCTTGTTTCTCCGTTCTGCTCTGTTCTGTTTTATAATACTCTTTCAGTAGCTCCCTGTCAGCCTCGCAAATGTGGATTTCAAGTGAAGGATTATGGGAGTCAGATGACGGCCAGGTAGGCAGCCAGGGAGTCAGACCATAAGTAATCAAGATGGCAAACTTCTGCCTTTCCCCCAAAGTGCACCTCTCTTACTGACTTACCAGACATGTTCTACCAGGCTCTGGCTATGTCTAAGCTTGCACAGTGAGATCCTACAGAGCTACTCTCCTGTTTTCACCATCATCTATTCAAAAAGGTAGAGGAGGGGCTGGAGAGATGGCTCAGAGGTTAAGAGCATTGCCTGCTCTTCCAAAGGTCCTGAGTTCAATTCCCAGCAACCACATGGTGGCTCACAACCATCTGTAATGGGTCTGGTGCCCTCTTCTGGCCTGAGGCATACATACATACAGAATATTGTATACATAATAAATAAATATTTAAAAAAAGGCAGAGGAGGAACCACACTAAGCTACCAACACACTTAAAAATCCCAGGCCGCCAGGGCAAAGCAGATTTCAGGTACTATTTTCTCCCTATTTATGACCAGTTTGTTCTTTTGTGTGGCATGTGGTGTGGTGTGTTGTGTGTGTGTGGTGTGTATGTGTTGTATGCTGTGTAGTGCATGTGTGTGGTATGCAGTGTGTGCAGTGTGTGTAGTGTGTGAGGTGTGTGTGGTGTGTGTATGTGGTATGTGGTGTGCGGTGTGCGAGTGTAGGGTTTGTGTGGTATGTTTGACATGTGTGTGAGGTGTATGGGTGGTGTGCGTGTATGTGTGGTGTGTATAGTGTGTGTGAGGTGTGTGTGAGGTATATGTCTGTGGTGTGCATGTATGTGTATGAGGTGTGTGCGTGTGTGTATGCGCAAACACACTTCACTTTTAACAAATCTTGTTTGCTTGCTGTGACTGTGAATTTTTGTCTTTTGATTCTTAAATTGTTGTAGAAAATGAACTCAATCCATGACCCTAGATGGTAACATGTACCAACACCTCTATACTTGTCTTGAAAGTATGCTTTCTTTTTTTGAAAAAGTGTTTTCTTATACAACATGGTACATGCTCACTCATAAGTGAATATTAGATGTAAAGCAAAGGATGACCAGACTACAATCCACAGCACCAGAGAAGCTAGGTAGCAAGGAGGACCCTATCAGGCACATGCATGGACCGCTCTAGGATGGGGGGGGGGAGGACAGAGATCATGAGGGAACAGGATGGCTGAGCTGGGGATAGACAGTGAGGGAGAGCAATGAAAGAGACATCTTGATAGAGGGAGCCATTATGGGGCTAGGGAGAAACCTGGTGCTAGGGAAATTCCCAGGAATCCACCAGGATGACCCCTGGGAATAGACTCCTAGCAATAGTGGAGCGGATGCCCGAACTGACCTTCCCCTACAGCCAGATTGGTGACCACCCTAATTGTCATCATAGAACTTTCATCCAGTAACTGATGGAAGCAGATACAGAGATCCACAGCCAAGCACTGGGAGGAGCTCCTGGAGTCCAGTCAAAGAGTAAGAGGAGAAACTATATGAGCAAGGGGGGACCAAGATCATAACGGGGAAATCACAGAGAGAGCTGACCAGAGCTGGTGGGAGCGCATGGACTCTGGGCTGACCCTTGGGGAGCCTGCATGGGACTGAACGAGGCCCTCTGAAAGTGGGTGACAGTTGTATAGCTTGGTCTTTCTGTGGGTGCCCTGGAGGTGTGGCAGGATCTATCCCTGATGCATGAAATGACTTTTTGGAGCCCTTTCCCTATGGTGGGAGGCCATGGTCAGACTTGATGCAGGGGCGAGAGGCTTGGTTCTGCCTCAATTTGATATGCCAGGCTTAGTTGACTCCCCATGGGAGGCCTTACCCTCTCTGAGGACTGGATGATGGGTGATGAGTGGTGGGAAGAGGAGGGAGAAAAAAAGGAGGGAGGGGGAACCGTGGTTGGCATGTAAAATGAATAAAAAATTTAAAAGAAAAAAAGAAAAAGTGCTTTTTTTCTCCCTTAAGATTTACTTATTTATTTAATTTACTGATTTACTCATTTACTTATTGATTTAATGTACACTAGTGTTTTTTTGCTTGTATATACTGTGTGTGGGTGTCAGATCCCCTGGAACTGGAGTTACAGACAGTAAGCTGCCATGTGGGTGCTGGGTATTGAACCCAGGTCCTCTGGAAGAGCAACCAGTGCTCTAAACCTCTGAGCCATCTCGCCAGCACCCAAAAATTGCTTTCTTTTGGAAAATGTATGTGTCTTATTTCTAAATGAGACATAGATGACTTAAAGCTGCTATGCTATTTCCTAAATTAATGCAGAACAGGCACAAATAAACTTTATTCACAGTAAAATTTTGACACAATTTTATCGAATTTTGAACTTCTTTAGTTCAACATAAAAATGTAATGCTTATTTTTGAGGCTAATTTGCCCATTTCTTTTAAGTTTTTGTTCTTGGTTAGTAGATCTACTCTCATATTAATATCTTAGGCTCTCTATCTTTAATAAGTTGATTATGGAAATGTAATGTATATATGCACAATTTTTCCAAATGTATTATATATTCTTAGCTGGAAATCTATATGTATTTATAGTTCAACTCCATATGTAAGTAAGTACATATTTTTAAAGCTTTATTTTATATATTACTTATTTAGAGTTTTAGTTTGTTTCTTGAAACAGGGTTTCCCTGTGTAGTTTTGGCTGTCCTGGAACTAACTCTGAAGACCAGCAACCTGGACTCAGGCTCAGAGATGCCTCGGCATCCCATAGTGGCTGGTTGAAGGTGGTGTGTGCCACCTCAGCCTGGCTTGAAGTTTTTACTGATCAGTATGTGCACTACCTGCAGAAGTCAGAAGAGGGGGTCAGGCTGCTGTGAGCCACCAGATGTGATGCTCAGAACAAAATTCTGGTCCTCCACAAGTTCTCTTTATGACTGGACTGTGTCTCCAATCTAAAACACATACTTCTAAACTGTAGACCAAACTGTGAGGAACGAAAGTTTAGGAAAGGATGTATCGATGTTATATATATATATTACACTATTCATATAAGGGACACAATTACAGATTTTAGTATCCTGGTGGATGTGGGATCATGAAACTAGATCGCTCACAAATATGACGTGTCATATTTGTGCCAAACACCCTGTAGAACAGTCATCTATGTAGAAACATGTTTAGAGTAAAAAGATGGAATAGTGACTGGGTTTGAGTAGTTTGTCCACTTGTTTTTGGATAGCAGCCTTTCCAAACACAAGAAATGGTTATGTCTTTCGATTTGCTTGTAGCTTTGGAGAATAAAAACAGAAACAGTTTCCTGGAAGAAGAGCGGAAGCTAAACTCCTCAATTTGTCACAATGACAGCGCTTACCTCTCGACCTCACTCCTGAAGCGGCAGCCACTGAGTAAAGACTGGAGTCGATGTAACCTCTCAGGAAGTCACCTCCACCCCATCACTTCTGGGGTTTGGAGACTAAAACAGACAACGCGGGCCAAAGGAAAATCCGGCCTGCCCACCTGACATCAGCGTGGACACCGCTGCAGGGACTTCCCCTGAGGAAAATGACTCCAGGCCGGCAGGAGGGGGCTGGAGGCTCCTGAGCCTGGCTGAGAGACTGCAGAAGGCGGGACTGCGGAGGGCGGGGCCTTGGAGGGCGGGGCCTGCGGAGGGAGGGGGGTCAGCAGGGGAGGAGCCTGCGGGGGCGGAGCACGCGGAGGGAGGAGCTTGTGGAGGGCGGGGTTGTCAAGGGAGGACCAGTGGAGGGAGTGGTCTGTGGAGGGCGGAGCCTGCGGAGCAAGAAGCCTACAGAGAAAGAGCCCGGCAGGGGCGGGGCCTGTCGAGGGAGGGGCATGAGGAGGAGGGGCATGGGGAGGGCGGGGCCTTGGAAGGGCGGGGCCTGAGAAGGGAGGGGCAGTCCGGGTAGGGTCCTCTGCAGGGGAGGCCCCGGCCGGGACAGGCCGGCGGGGAGCTGGGCGGAGGGAGAAAACACCGAAGGAGAAGCGGCGGAGGGCGGGTCCGCCAAGGGAGGAGCGCGGAGCCCGGAGGAGGGCGGAGGAAGGTCCGCCCCGGCGCGACCGCAGACCCGACCGACGGGCTCCCGGGGACAGCCAGCACGGCCGGAACTGCAGCGGCCGCGCGGGAATGGGCCGCCCCGCGACCTGACGCCGCCGCTCCGCCAGAGCCATGGACGGGGACGCCATCTGCAGCGCGCTGCCTCCCATCCCCTACCACAAGCTCGCCGACCTGCACTACCTCAGCCGCGGCGCCTCGGGCACCGTGTCGTCGGCTCGCCACGCGGACTGGCGCGTGCGGGTGGCCGTGAAGCACCTGCACATCCACACGCCGCTGCTGGACAGGTAGGGGGTCCGGGGGAGGAATTGCCCTGGCGGCGCCCCACTTTCCCGCTCGCCTCTCCTCCAAAAAAACCGGCAATCACGGCAGCCCGTAAAAGCCTGTTTATTGAATCCGACGTGTGTTGATGCAGTGCTCGTGGCTTCGCTTTATTTTTAGCCGCAAGAGCTCTGGAGGTCTTGAAACTGGGCTCTCAGAAATGAAATAAGGGGTGAGTGCAAAATACACACCGGATTTTGAACATTTAGTCCTAAGAACAAAAATGTGCCAGTGTATTTATATTGGCTACGTGTCAAAATACTTTTCTGGGGTCGTATATGTTTTCCACTCCGTATTTTTATTCATCAGTGCTGCTCCAGAGAGTGCCTGTTTTGGTGCGGTTTGGTTGGTTTTGTCTTGTTTGTGGCTTATTCCATGCTGTCATGAAGTTCAGATATCAGACTCTACATTAGCAGTTGTTGTTCGAGCTCTTACTTTGCAAGTCCTCAAAGGAAATGTGCGCTGTTTTTGTAACAGTAAATTGAATTCAAAGATTGTCAAATGGTCAAAAATATTGAATATTAAAGAAAAAATTGACCGCCTCATGTTCTGATATTCTTTGGGTCCAGTTTCCTCATCAGGAAAGAAAAAAGCGTTGGTTTCTGTTTCCAGGAAAACATCACAATTAAATACCATGGCTTCATGACTGTGTGTGTTAGTCAATGGGTCTAGTCAGTAGTAGTCTTGTGCTTTCCTTTTATCGGGAATTTAACCAGACATCCGTGGTTGACACATTTTCTTCTGGATCTAGCGTGAAAATGCAGAAGGCATAGCGGCTCCATTGGCCAGAGGCTGTTCATGTCTGGTGTGAGGTCAGATCCGACATCAGATACCTCTTCAGACTTCATCCTGTAGCTTTTTCCCCCCACCGTAGGCTAGATCTCATTGTAGTTTGGAACACTGAAACGTTTTGTGTACCTTGATCCAGATTCAGGAATGTACAAGGTGTAGTGCCTGTTCATAGTGGGCCTCACAGTCCGTGTAGCCAAATTCAGCTGTAAAAGGAGGTTGGTCAGAAGCCAAGTAAACAAATATTCTCTGGATATGTAGTACTCATAGACCACTAAGTATACCAAAACTAGCTGATTTCTCACTTTGGAGTCTGCTTTTCAAGGTTTTTATTTACCCAAGCTTTGTGCTCTTTATGGGCCAAGGGATAAAGTTGAAGTTTCTTTTTCCATCTTCCCCAGCCACGTCACTGTACAGTTTTCTTGAAATGGACAGGAAATTGTCTTCCTAAGAGCAACAAAATCCTGGGACCTTACTGCACTGGTTCTTTTCTCTTGTTGCATAAGATCTTAACAAGCGCACAGGCCTGGGCTTATGCAATTGACTAGGCATGTCTTATTTCCTCATTTATAAAATATGAATAATTAACACGTATGTGTATTTGTTGTCGCTACTGTAGATAAAGTACCCATTGTTCTTTAAGATGACCTGTAAGGAAAATAAGTTTATGTGACGTTACATGTTATTTTAATGATTAATGAGTACTCTGTAACCAATGAATGGGCCTTCCGTAGCATTCTTCCTACCTTAATGGACCTCCTATTGGTTGTTCAAGTACCCTGGATATGGGGTAACTATTCCCTATTGAAATTTTGAGTTGGGTAATTTTGGTGATATAATTATTGAAACTGTCCTACATTTTTAGCTTTTTATAATTTTTAAATTTTATTTTCCCCCTCAGTCTTGTTGAAATCTAACCTTACAAACTGTCCAACACAGACCTTAGCGTACCAGGACTACAGTTTGAATCTGACTTAAATCTGACTTAAATCCTGTCCCTTTGTATCATTGTGGTCACCAGAGGCTCATTCGTCTTTCTACCTCTGGGTGCCCTTAGGTGTAAGGCGAAGATAATGGAACCGGCTTTAAGTGTTTATGTGCATATAAAGTGGCTGACAGGAAGGAGGAATACATCAGACTTTTTCATGTGTGTGTGTACATGTGTGTGTTAATGTATACACATGTTGTATGTGGTGGTCCATGTGCATGATATGGAGGCCAACTTCATCAAGTGTTGTTCCTAAGAACCACCATTTATTTGGGGGGGGGGATTTGGATTGCTTTATTGTTGTTGGCTTTTTTATGTGGATTTTGAAGAATGAAACGGGCCCTCCTGCTTGTATGACAATCGCTTCACCAACGGGCCTGTCTCCCAACACCTTATTTCATGCTGTGGACAGAAGGAGGAAAGGGTGTCTTATGTGTACACTCTCTGTGGATGTTTCTTGCTGTCCAGAAGTCTTCAGGTTCATCCTGTAAGGAACCACACAGCACCTGTCTTGTTGACCCAAATCTCTTGTGCAAATACAGAACTTGAGAAACTGGAGTAGAATTGAATGGGCCTCATGGATTGGTATAACTGGTTTCCTTACTTACAGTCAAGGTCAGAGACAGAGAAGAGATAAACTTTCCACTCCACGTTTTCTTGTAACTCTTGAATTTAAAAACATAAAATCTATTGTCTACTCAGAGAATAAATGACTTATGACCATGGCTGGGTGTGTGTCTCTGTGTCTCCGTCTGTGTTCTCAGCAGTCTTATCAGGAGTGCCTGTTGCTTTTTTCATTTCAACAGCCGTCCATCTAGAGCTGGGTTTCTCAAGAGCCAGCATGAGCATCATCACTTACCCAATAGGCTTCTCCTGGAAGTGTTTCTATTTATGTCATGGCTACCAACACCCATGCATCTGGACAGTTAAAAGAAAAAATGATGACGTCAATATAATTTCTCTTTCTTTGTATATTTTTAAAGCCCTTTACAGCCAGTTAGTCCCAGCATCTATCATTCTTCCCAGCGGTGTTTTCTTCTTTCTTTCACTAGAACTTTATAGTTTCAGGCACTCCCTGCTTTGAGTCTAAATTGTTACAGTCTTCAAAACTGTTCCTCTTTCTGTTAACTCCATACACCGTGCCAGACAATTATCTTCACACTTCGTCCTACCGATTTCTCTCACTCAGGACCTCCGGTCACAGCAGCTCATCAGATGAAGTGTCCTGGGAAGTCTTAGGACCCTGGCATGTTAGTTTGACCATCCCTCCTTTTACACAGACTGTTACACACCCTAGTTCATATCAGTCAGTTTTACTTTCACTTCCTTAATTCACGTGGCACATGGATGTTGAGCATCTACTGTGTTACTGGATAAAGTCCTGGGGAAGCCTTCTCTCTGGTGCTAAATCCTAGCCGTACTTCAGGTTCTACTGAGAGCCTGCATCGTTGAAGGCTGCGCTGAAGCCTGCATCGTTGAAGGCTGCGCTGACTTTGCCTTGCTCAAAATCCTCTCCCCTCTGCATCCCCATAGTTTGCTTTCCTTTTTCCTTTATATGTGTGTGTGTACGTATGTATGTATATGTATATACATGTATATGTATGTAAGATATATGGTAGTTATCACATTCTTCCTTGTATTATTTATTTTTCTTACGTGAATTATGGGCCTTGAAAGCAAAGATGCCTCTTTGTGTTTGTAGGCTCTGAAATACTAACCGTAACTCTATTTGTACTAAAAGTTAACCATTTACCTGTTTTATTCATGCCCAAGGCATGGACACCAGGGATCGGCTATGTGTGCTTCCCTCGTCTCTGTTCTTTTCCTGAGTTTGGTGTGTAATATCTCAGCGTTACTGACTTTGACATAGCTATCATCACCTCAGCCAGCGGTTCTCAAACTATGGATCATGACCCCTTCCACGGGGTTCACCGAAGAACAGCGGAAAGCAAAGATATTTACATTACGATTCATAACAGTAGCCAAAATTACAGTGAGGAAGTAGCAACAAAGTAATTTTATGGTTGGGGGTCACCACAACATGAGGAACTGTGTTAAAGGGGCCTTGCATTAAGAAGGTTGAGAACCACCGAGTGGTACAAATACATCGGCAATATCTAAACATTTTAGAATTCATGTTAGAAAACTTTTACATGGAGTGTAACCATGGGATGTAACACTATGCTAATCAAGTGTATTCCTTTTAGGATAAAATAATCTTAGTAATTTAATTAGTTCAGGCATCAGTCATTGTAACATAGGTAAGCTTGGGGAGCTTCCTCTCTCACGGCTCCTTCTCTTTCCTAGGAGAGGTGCAGTAATAACCATGTGTAGCCCTTTTTTTACCATCAGTGGAAAGTACAGTAATAACCATGTCCAGCACTTTTACCACCAGTGGTTTGTAGAAGCTATTTTGGATGCTGTCTAAACAGACCAGTAGAATACACAGAGTGGATATCATCTCTGTTTTAAATGTGATGAAACTAAGCAACACAGAAGTTGAAAACTCACATAAGGCTACATAGCTAATTAATGAAAAAAAAATCTAGGCTTAATTAATATGTGGGCATGGTCATTGTATGTTTTTCATTATCTGAAATAATTATCCTTTTTTTTCTTTAGTGAAAGAAATGATATCTTACGAGAAGCTGAAATACTACATAAAGCTAGATTTAGTTACATTCTTCCAATTTTGGGAATTTGCAATGAGCCTGAATTTTTGGGCATAGTTACTGAATATATGCCAAATGGATCATTAAATGAACTTCTACATAGAGTAAGTACTGTTTGTTTTCAGTGACTACAGTTATTATTTAGTCTGCTCAAACTGTCTATAGTATTTTTGTCACAGTATTTTGTAGTATATCAATGAGTCAAGTAAGAATATGAAGAACCATTGAACTGATGAACTTCTACTTTCTGTGGCTTTGTTTATGTTGTTACAAACTACTGTGGAGCTGGGCATGAATTTAAAGGTCCTAGATTATTTTGTATAGGTAACTGAGACATTCATACTAAATCCCAGTATACATATTATACTGTATATATAAATATATTCATGTACAGATAGGCATGGGAAATAGATGAGATGCATTCAATATACTATATAACCAATTGTTAATCCATATTTTATATTAGTGGCTATTTAGAAGCCATATTAAGTATTATCAGTTAATGGACCAAGTAAATCATCTTCAGTAACATTTTTCTATCTCTAGCAGTTTGAACCATTAAAAGGTATGAGTACTCTGTCTTTTATGCATGAATCCTATCAACAAACAAACTTAGGGGTCCACATTCTCGAAATACCTATATTCTATTTTTATTTTTCCGTGATCTTACACCGTGATTACTTCCAGTGTACATTTGCTTTCAGAAATCTTTTTAGGTCAGATGCCCCAGTTTATGAGGATTCAGGTTAATTAGGGCTGCGTAACCACCTGAGGACACCTACGGCACGCCCACGTCACAGTGTAGCACAGCTTTCTGAGTAGTCGAGGGCAAGTGGGCACCACTGCAAGCCACTCATGGGGTGACTTCCTCTTTGTTTCAGAATACCTCGCATTCTGTCATGACTTGTGGCCATCTGAAACAAAGACGGACTGAAGTAACTGGTGTCAGTCTGTTCCGGTTTGTGTGCCTGCCCCAGCAGTCAAGGGACCAAGAGTCTATAAAGTGCAGTCTCTTTTCCGTTGTTTGAGAAATGAAGTTTAAGCAGAAATCCTAATGTTCTCCTTCCACATTGTCATAGATACGGTGGCACCCAGATTTGGAGCCCGCTGGGGATTCTGTAGCCTCCCCTCCGCTAGGGATATTCCTAACTCTTAGATGTGACCATAAGCGATAGAGCGAGTGGCCACTCCACCCTTAACTCCATGAGGGAAAACCCCGTGTGACACTGTCATTCAAAGGCCCCATAATGACTTTAAACTTCATAATAACTTAACTCGCTAAGGACCAACAAAGGAGTCACTCACTCCAAGGTCCTGAGCTGGGCGTGTTTCCCGGGAGGTCACGATCCACACTAGTGTTTCGTATTTCTTTTGGATCCTTAGTGTGGTGCCCTCAAAGATATGCCAGTTACTCACCCACAGCATCAGAAAGATCACTGAATAAAATGAAAATGTACAGAGCCTAGAATATTATGAACCATTCCTACCAATTGATTACTGAAACGTAAGCAGACAGTTTCAGAAAGAATCCCAAGGCAATTTTGAAATTGTAGTTTTAAATTAATTTTAAAAAAAAGGTCAAAATTTCCAATGAATAGTTTGGTATGTCAGAAGCAAATTACTATCTTTTTCTGTATGTATGTGTGCTTATGGGTATAAGTTATTCGCTGAAGCCACAGGCGTGGAGCAGTGGGTGGAGTATAAGCGTCTGTGTCTGACCTTGTACGCCTACAAGTAACTGAGTGGTGGCGGAGTGGACACTTAAAAAAAATCCCACACTAGCTCAAAATTGAGAGATAGATACTCATTTAGGGGGAAAACTCAAAAATCAGAATTCTCCACTTGACCGGCTGAATCACAAGATCCAAAAGGAGCAGCCAGCCTGGAACGGAGCAAGGGAAACCTGAGAGAAAAAGGGTCACGCCCTAGTAGGCGGGCAACTACAAGCTGTAAAACTTCTTACAGCAACTGAGAGTTGTGCCGACTGCAGGACGAGGCAGTAATACCATGCAATTGCATGGCCAATATAAAAAGAAATACCACAGCTATAGTTATTATAAACATCTCTAAAAATTCAAGTAAAATACAAGAATATCAAACAAAATATCAATTGGTACAATGTTATAAAATTGAGCGTGTGTTTTATCTTAGTTTATAATCTGTTTCCTCGTGAAATTCTTAATTTTTAACTGTTAAATTAAGGTAGTACTTTTTTGTTTTGTGTCTTTCACCTATACAAAGAAAACTGAGTATCCTGAAGTTGCGTGGCCGTTGAGATTCCGCATCCTGCATGAAATCGCCCTTGGTGTGAATTACCTGCACAATATGAATCCCCCTCTCCTTCATCACGACTTGAAGACTCAGAATATCTTGTTGGATAATGAATTTCATGTCAAGGTAACTAATTTGGGGGGAAAAAAACTTTCTCTGAGTCTTTGTTCTTAATAATTCTGAGAAATCCTTTAGTAGGGTCTTCATTGCTGTCTTCAGCACCACCTTCCGTGAGGCTTGGGGCTGGGAAACCCAGCTGGAAGATCCTGAAGGAGGAAGCTCCAGCTCCTGGCTTTTGAACACGCTGCCAACATTTGCGCTGGGACCAGAGGAAGGCTTTGCCACTCCGTGATCTGAAGCATTCAGTCCTTGGCATGGCCTGGCTGGTGTCAGCAATCTCCACTTAGTCAGGGTATCCTGAGCTCTCCACACTGGCCCCTTTCTCGCAGTAGTTCAGTTACTCCCTGTTTGCTTGTTTGTGTGACACAGGGTCTCACTATGTATCTCTGACTGTCCAGGAACTCACAGAAGTCCTCCTGTCTCTGCCTTCTGAGTGCTGGGATTAAAGGTGTCTGCAGCCGCACCTAGCTTAAGGCTCAGTTATTCTTAAACTTTAGATATAGAATTTGCTACAAAATAGCAATTCACTGTGTTTCTTAATTAAAATTGTCAAAATATTTTATTTTCTATTTTGAAATTAGTGTTAGAGTCATAGGATGTTATGAAGATAGTGTAAGGTGGCTCCATGCTCCCTTTACCCATTCCCTGCATAATTAGATGTAGCCTTCAGATGGGAAACTGGACAGGGATGGGTGATCTTGAGCACTTTTCATAAGCCTCCTTGCCACCCACAGAGCCTGTCCACTGAAAAGCCTCCTGAATGAGCCCGTTTTCTAATTGGGTTGTTTATTTTCACCACTCAATTTTAAGAACCCTGTATATATTTTAAATATAAGTCCTTTACAGATAATAATTTTCAGATATTTCCTTTCAAATATTTCTCCACAACTTACGTTGTCAGCCATGTGTTTGTGTTTGTACTGACTCATGGAGAACGTGTGTGTGTGTTAGTGTGCACATGTGTGTGTAATCGTTGGCTACGCTAGCTGGCTAGTGACAGGAATCCTCCTGTCTCCAGTTCTCCAGTGCTCTGATCACATCCTGCCACGCCTGGAGGCTTTATGAGTTCTGAGGTGTGAGGTTCGGTTAGGTCATGTCTGCCCAGCAGTGCTCTACCTCTGAGCCGGTTCCTAGGCCTGTTATCCTTTTAACAAAGCCTGCCACCAAGAAAAATTTCGTCTTTGCTGAAGTACCATTATCACCTTTGTCCCTTAAGGACAGTGTTCTTGCTATCACTGGTAAGCCCTCCTCCCCAACTCTAGGTAGTGACAGCGTTCCTCTGTATCACCTCCTAAGGTTTCTTAGTGCTATGCTTAGTGTTATATTGAAGTCTCATGCTTTGAATTTGCTTTTGCGTACAGGGCAAGGAGTACTGTAACCCTGCACAGAATGGGGGAACTCAAATGAGGAGTAACTGCTGAGGAATTAATACTAACTGCAGCTCACTTTATTTTTATCTAGCATTCTAGCTACCTATTTCTATAGCATACATTGTCAGAGGATGATTTAAATATTAAAAATGTTCAAAGAAATACTTATTTCTCCATTACTTACTAGAAAAGTTGTAACAGTACCAACTTTTAACACAGAAGTATGAGAAAAACTAATTTAAAAAAAATGACTAAATATACTTCCTTTTTCTTGAAATAAAATGGCAGTTTGGGAAGAGAAAGAAAGGTCAAGCTTGCGGCCCAACATTGTGGAGAAGGGGAGAGGGACTTGACTGAGGTTTCCCATTTCTCTGCAGGACCTTAGGTGAGCTGGGACTCTGTTCCCAGCGTGGCTGCTCCACAGAGAGGACACAGTGTCTGTACATGAACAACCGGTACTTTCCCAGTAACCAGATGTCCTCCCTGCTTTTCTCCCTTAGTTCTACCTCACATTTTGTTGATAAATGTATTAAGTCCACTCTTCTTCAGTACAGCAGCCGTTCTGATATTTGGAGACAGCCGTGCGTCTGCTTCCCACCAGGATAGTCCCCTTTTCTTCGCTGAACCAGCTTTACCCTCTTCAGCCTTCATTCAGTCCCTTGTTGATACGAGTTTTATCCCCTTGTGCGATTTCATTGCATGCTTTGGCGTTAACTGCAAATTTTGATCCTTAGGACCAAACAAAATACGTCTGACGTAATCTGATGAATGCAGAGTTGAACCAAAGTGTATGATTTTTATAGTCCTAAGTACTTAGTAGTAAGTTTCTTGGACAGGCATGGTAGGTGAATGCTGCCTGTAATTTCAGCACTTGTGAGGAACAGGTGGGGGAGGGGGGATCAAGAGTTCAAGGCCAGCTTGGGTTATGTAGCAAGTTTGAGGCCAATCTGAATGCATGAGACCCTGTCCCCAAAAAAAGAGAAAAAAGAAAGGGTTTTGGTAATTAACAGTTGCCACAGGCGTCATGCTACGGAAAGTGGACTGCCAGCCGGAAGGCCCAGAGGTTGCTGTGATGTTTTGATGTCATCCTTGTCACTTTTCAAGTGTCATCATTTAACCGTCCTCTCCTTGTCGTGAACTTAGAATTCCTTTGTCCTACTGGACAGGTGTGGTCTTGTTTGGGAATTAGACTTGAGCCTCCCTTGACGGAGCAGCACAGCAGCCCTAAGGACCTCCTGACCACGAGGACCAGCTCTTTTGTTAACTGTACTTTTCGGAAGTCATCCTTCAGCTTTTTAGCCATGTTCTGGTAGGAACCATTTTTCTTCCTTCTCAAGACTCCTAGGGGAGCCCTTGCTTAGCTGCTCTTCCCAAGGTCCTTATGGTTCAGGCCATCACACAGCCAGTCTTTCTGCCTTATACCACCTAGTTCTCCTCCGTGTCCTGTTGTATCCTGTACCCTATGCTTCCCCGTGACAACTTCTCACCAGCTGGCATGACTTTCTTAATTACCATGATTAATTTGACGGCGTGACTGCCTGGTCACACCTATTTCCTCTTCTTGTGAAAGAGTCTCATGCAGCCCAGACCGGCTGGTCAGTTAGACTGAAGATTCATGAAGAAAACAGTTTAGCCCAGATTAGTATCTACTACATGCCTAGCACATGCTGTATAGAAGCATCCCATAATTAAAGTGAGCAAATGAGTTCATTTCAGATCTTCTGCATGTAATAAATAACATCTCCTCAGTTAATAGTCAAATATATAAATGTGTAAGTAGAGCAGCATATCTTATAGATGCTTCTAGAAACTCCTAGCTTGGTGATACAGTAGCAAAGCTACCAAAGAAATCTGTCTTCTTTTATTCTATTATTTGTGGAATGCCTCTGTTATGTGCTGTGTGAAATTGAGCACTGGTGTTTTGTTTTGTTGGTTTTTCAAGACTGGGTTTCTCTGTGTAGCCCTGGCTGTCCTGGAATTCTATCTGTAGACCAGGATGGCCTTGAACTCAGAGGTCCACCTGCCTCTACCTCCCAAGTGTTAGGATTAAAGGTGTGCGCTGCCACCACCTGGCGAGCACTGATCTTTGTAATTTGCTCTCCATAAATTCTTGCTGACTTCTGCATTTTCCAATCACTTTTAAAGTTTCCCTTTCGACAACTTAAAGTACCCCTTTACAAATTCTTTAAAGGCTTTTTAATCAAGGTTAAGAAATAGGCTCTAAATAGGATATAGACTTGCAAAGTCAACACTTTTTTTCTCCTTCTTTAAAACTCATACTGACATGACTTTTTAAATGTTTTTGTTTTCAATTATTAAATAGTTTGTATACATGTAACTGGAATATACTAGGCTGACTCAGTACATGCATACATTAGTAATGGTGACTAGCTCGTATGGAGAGGGTGTCATGTCACGACAGATGCCCTTCTGAATAATTCCCTAGAAAGACTAGTTTGATGAGTTACCTCAACACACTTCTGTTGGATGCTTTATCCCCAGCTACAGATGAACAATGTAGGACACAGAGAACGTAAACAACTTCCTTGGGGTCATACAACAAATTAAATGGTAGAATTACACTATAAATTGAGATAGCCTCAACTCCAGAGCCCAATGTTCGTAACTGAAGTTTCATTATCTTCACTTTCCACTGTCTGACAGTTTATCTCCTCTTGGTCTTTTCATAGTTGCTGTTTCTTAAGCTTTTAGGAAATGTGTGAAAGGTTGTGCAGTCTGTGTTTGATGGTCCAGGATCCACAATCTTTATCTCATTCATCTAAACACAGATTATAAAGTAATTCTTCTGTTAAAAAAATACAAAAACACAAGATATAAATACTCAAAATACCAATTATCCTGCACAAATCCCATCCTCCTTTGTCAATTTCTTCGGTGTGTATTGTAATGGTAAAAGTAAAATGCTGCAGATTCCCAAGTGGCGGCAGTGGGCAGCGGGCACGAGACCACGGCAGGCCAGAAAGGCAGCCACCCAGGCAGGGAGCCAAGCAATGAGGGTCAATGGGTCCTAGGCAGGGAGCCACGTGGTGGGTGAGAGACCAAGATGGATAGGCACACCATGCAGAGTGAGGTTGGATATTTATTTAGTGAGGAAGGAGAGAAGGGGAAAGAGCAGAGAGAGGTAGACAAAGAGGTTGGGGGGGAGAAAGAGGGAGGAGAGGAGCAGCAGCTACCTCTTTGGGAGAGAGAAAGAAAGGAAGGGCTCAGACTGGAAGCAGAAGGAAGATCTACCTGCCTTGGCAGTGGGGATGGGGGGAGTGGGTGGGGCTTGTCTTAAAGGGACAGGAGAGACCATTACATGTATTATAAGTCTAAGTAATTTAAATGTCTTTATAAAGTTTTCCCATACTCCTTTGCCCACTAAGTAACATTTCTGGTCTTACATTTTACCTTTTATTTTTAAAAAGTAAGAAACCTTTTAAACATTAAGAAAGTTATATAACCTACATAAATTACAAGAGAAAGCAAGCTGTAAAGGACATACTGAAAATAAAGAATGCTTACCACTGGTCAGTTCTTTAGCTGTGCATTCTTGTAGGGGCACACGGTGTGATACGCGCCATCCAAAATGGCTCTTAGTAGTGAGCAAAAAGCATATAGTGGTGACTTCTTACTACTGTAACATTTTACTTATCTTGAAATCTAATTTGATACTAATTTTAGAACAAGAATAATACCATGTAAACTTGGCCTGGCTAACTGTCTTGTTCCTTCTTCAGAACCCATGTGATGGAAGGAGGGAACTGGCTCCTGAAACTGTCCTCTGACCTCCCCAGCCACATCCTTACACACCCATGCACAAATGAATAAATTTAGCAAAAAGAATTTTTGTGTGTTTGGTTTTGGTTTTGGTTTTGGAGATAGGGTTTCTTTGTAGCTTTGGAACCACTCCCTCTGTAGACCAGGCTGGCTTAGAACTCTGCCTCCCGAGTGCTGGGATTAAAGGCATGTGTCACCACCCTGCACAAAAAGAATTCTTAAAGATGTAAACAACGTTCGGTCTATTGTATGGCTTATGAGGAGAAATACTGGTGGCGGGGGATTGGAAAACACAGCCTGCCCTAAAGCTTCATTCCATAAAAACAATATTCATTGTGTATATTCAGATCCTGAAACGATTAGTTTCCCTTAAAAATGTGTGATATTCTGTTACAAACCTTATCAGTATATAATCATCTAGAGTTATTGGGCATAGCACTATGATATGTAATTTGTTAAGAGGCTGTGGAAGGTTAACAGTATATAGCTTTTCTTGGGACTGATAGCCATTACAGATGCAATATATGAAAACAAAGGTAGTTAACTCTTGGACGTTTTAAAGTAAAAAAAAAGATCTAAAATTTTAATTCATCTCTTTGCTCTTACAGATTGCTGATTTTGGTTTGTCAAAATGGCGCATGATGTCGCTCTCGCAATCACGAAGTAGCAAATCTGCCCCCGAAGGAGGAACAATCATCTATATGCCACCTGAGAACTATGAGCCTGGGCAGAAGTCGAGGGCCAGCGTGAAGCACGACATATACAGGTACCAGGAATGCTTTAGTTTTATCAGAAACATAAGATTAAGCAGCCAGATTTTCCAACTGCATTTTATAATGAGACTTTCTACTTATAACTTATGATAGAATTAAATCAGAGGCCACAATGGTTGATATTTTTCAAATTAAACATTTTGCCTTAAGTGATTTCAGCATTGTTTAAAGATACGAAGGTGTATATTTTGTCCTGTGAATGTGTAAAAATGCTCGGAGGTTTTTAGTGCCTTGGGAAAGCATGGAGAACAGTAGTCCATAACCTTTGGTCATGGTTACTTATACATTGCTCAGGGTTTTATTTATTTATTTATTATGTATACAGCATTCTGTCTGCATGGATGTCTGCACACCAGAAGAGGGTATCAGATCTCATTACAGATGGTTGTGAGCCACCATGTGGTTGTTGGGAATTGAACTCAGGACCTATTGGAAGAGCAGTCAGTGCTCTTAACCTCTGAGCCATCTCTCCAGCCCCTACATTGCTCAGTTTTAAGAGAAGTAAGCAAACTGTTAAATCTACTAGGGATGTTTTTATTTAAATCATCCCTTATGTTTATATATGGATCCTTTATACAGCAAATTAACATGTTTAATATAATTATGGTTTCATGTTTCATTTGCAGCTAGTTATAACCTCACAGTGCAGTAATAGGCATAATTTATTGTTTTTATTATTGCTTCTTTGACCAGAGAAAAAGAGGATTACAATTTATTATGCACAGAATTAGAATATGGGCACTTTTACCTCATGAGCAATTCATGTCTGTCTCTAACCTGCCAAAGAATAAAATCAGGCTTCCTACATTTATTTTAAATACCTTCTATAGCTCTTTTAAACAACTTTTGCTAACGTTGATAAATTAACAGTAAAAATGAAGCTGCTTTTGGTAGTAAATGGTATGTCTTGACTAGAAAATTACATCATCAACTGATCTACAGCTTCCGTCAAGAAAGGAATTTTTTACACTTCTCCTTCAGTCCGTGGCAGCCAGTTCGTGTCAGTGAGCACCTGGCTCAGTTATCCTTCACTTTCGTATTATTGTATGAAAAAGAATGTTTCTTCTGTTGTTCCCTGATAGCCTTCGTTCATTGACATGAGGTGCTCAGTAAGGAGGAACAGAAGGGATTTGCTTCTGCTACATAAAGACTACATAGTCCAGCTGGCCTGATTCTATAAAGACGGACCGTTTGGTTTGGTTTGGCTTGATTTGGTTATTTTCCTGGATTGAGAAGGGCTGTGGTTTCTGTCATTGTATCTATTTAAATGCTGAACTGCACTGACTGGTTTGCAAGTGTTAAACCAACCTTGCATACCCGAGATGGAACCAGCTTGGTGAAGGTATATGATCTGCTTAATGCAGTTTTTAATTTGATCTGCGGAATTTTATTGAGTTTTTGCATATATGTTCATCGAGGAAACTGGACGATAGTTTTCTTTTTCTGTTGTATCTCTATCCAGTTTTGCCATCAGTTCAGTGCTGGCTTCATGGAATGGGTTTGATAGGTGTCACTTTCCTTTTCATTTATGAAACAGTTGCAAGAACACTGGCATTGCCTCTTTTTTTAACTTTTTTAAACGCCTGGTAGAAAGCCATGCCTGGTGGTGAATGTCTTTAACCCCAGCACTCAAGAGGTAAAAGCAGGTGGATCTCTGTGAGTTCAACCCAGCTTAGTCAACAGAGTGAGTTTCAGGACCGCCAGGGCTCCAGAGAAAGCAAAATGCTTGGCAGTTTGATGTTGAATCCATCTGATCTCGAGATTTTCTTTGTTAGGAGACTTTTCTGTGATGTGTCCTAGTGTGTGTGTTTGTGTGTATTTGTTTGTGTGTATGTATATGTGTGAGTTTTTGTATGTGTATGTCTTGATTTAATTTTGGTGGTAATATATATCTAAGTATTTACCATTTCTCCTGGATTTTCCAGGTTTTTTTAAATGAGTTTTCTAAGCCCTCCCTAATGAGTCTTTGAATTTTATTGGAAACAAAAAAGTAGACTTCCTTTTTCATCTGTGATCTAATTAATTTTGCTCTTCTTCTTTTAGCTATTCAGCTAAAAGTTTGTCTGTCTTATTTATATTTTTAAAGAACCAACTTTTATTGATTCTATGTGTAGCTCTCAGACGGAAAAGATGGCTCAGCTGTTCAAGGGTAGACTCACACTGAAACATTTTATTTTTTGTCTCCATTTCATTAAGTTCTGCGCTGATCTTTATTATTTCTTGCTGTCCAGTGCTTTTGAGTTTGGATTGTTCTTGTTTTGTTTTGTTTATTCATTTGTTTACTTGTTTATTTTGTAGTTTTGTTTTTCGAGACATGGTTTTTCTGGGTAATCCTGGCTCTCTGTCTGTATTCCAGCCTGGCCTCGAGTTTGGAGATCCACCTGCCTCTGCCTCCAGAGTGAACACTATGGCCGCCTGACTAGGTCACGCATTTTATTTACTTCCTGATGTACTTCATTGGGTTATTTGAGATCTTTCTGATTTTTTAAAGCACTCATAGCTACAAATGTTCCTCTTACAAGTACCTTGAAGTTGTGTATTCATTTTCATTTGATACTAAGAATTTCTTCTCTGACTCCCTGAAAGACTCAGCAGTAACTTAAGAGTTCATTCTTTAGTCTCCATGTGTTTGCATAGTTGGATAGTTTCTGTAGATTTTCTCTCCACGTGTTGATGTATAATCATATTGCACTCAGAGCTGAAAGACAGAAGAGGTGATTTTGGTTCCTTTGCCTTTGCTTAGACTTGCTTTGTAGCCTAGAATGTGGTCTGTTGTAGAGATGGTCCTTGAGCTGCTGAGAAGAACATGTATTCTGTTTCGATTGGATGGAAGATTCAGTAAACATCTGTTCAATTCATTGACCTATGATGTACTCCAACTCCCAAAATTCTTTTTCATTTTTAGCTTGACTGCTCTATCTATTGTCTGATTGAAACCACCTACTATTATTGTCTCAAAAATCAAGCCTTTGTGTCCATTCATCCGTGTTATGAAGTTGGGAGTGCCGGATTTTGCTGCGTGTACATTTACAGCTATGACTTCTTCTTGGTGAAGTCAGCCTTTCCTTCCCTCTTCTGACTGATGCTGGGTGGAAGTTGGCTCTATCACCAGAATAACTACTTGGTTTTTGGTAGCTTGTTTTATCTTCACCAATAGGTATGATTCTCGGAGACAGTAGAAAGTAGGCTCTTGTTTCTTAATCCAGGCCACACTGCCTCCAGCAAGGCGAGTTGAGGCCGTTTTCATTTAAGGTAACAATTCGGAGATACTTACTAATGCTGTAGCCTTGTTGGCTGTTTTTCCGGTAGCTTGGATTAGTGTTTGTTCTGTACTTTCTTCCTTATTAGTATCAGGAACTTGAAAACAGACTAATTTCAATGTGCTTACCATTCGCTTTGTGAGTTAGGTTTTATATTAAGCTCCATAAGGGGAAAAAGTGAGGAAATAATTTTCCTTGGTTTAGGTGGGGTTTTCTCTGCAATCCTCATTTTCCTTAGAGTATGTGCTGACACCTGATCAAGTTCAGGTGTCCTTTCTGAGTACGTAACTCACGTGAAGATGCTGCAGAATTTCTATTTTCTCCTCATTTATTTCAAATGTAAACTCTGTTCAGCTTAACTAGGTGGTTTGTAGCTGAAATGTAATAGTTGTCAAAGTCTTTGCACTAGAAAAAGACTGTACGGAAACCAGGAAAAGTCAGAAGAATGGTGCAATACTAGAAAAACTTACTTTATTGCTCTTAGTTTTGTGTGAAAACCAGGGATATCTGATTAGAGGTTACATTTTATCTAGATGTTCAGAGTAACTTAAGTTATCACAAATATTTATCCTGGTATGTAGCACTAAGCCATTTTTGTGGTAACTTCATATTTCTAATTAAAATCAATTCCTTTTTAAAACAAAGGTTGATTCCCTTTCTGACATGCTTGAATATTCCCTTCCCTGACTATATATGGTGATTCCTCATAGAACATTTCATTACCTGTCATCTTCAGAAATGGTTTCATTTTTAAATAATTTTACTCCAGTTTATTGTACAAAGTTCACTTATGATCTATAACTTTTTAATTTAAACAGCTATGCAATTATCATGTGGGAAGTCTTATCAAGAAAGCAGCCTTTTGAAGGTACGTATGCCCTTGATTTCCTTATTCCAGAAGACATCGAGATGTTGGTGCACATTCAGAGCTATCTAAAGCTCGTCAGATTTTAAACATTCCTGCCACTCATTGTGTACACAAACCACACTGTCAAAACCTAACAGCTTTTCAGTTATGCATCCACTGCATGCTACAAAGGATGCTAGATTACGGTCAGTCGTGAAGAGTGTACTTAAGGACGAGAAGAATCTAAACTCTAGTTCTTTTGTGGTCAAGCCACAAAACCTCAAGTCCTTATTTTTGTTCTTTTCAAAGTGAGATTTTAACTATTATTCCTCTATAAATGCCAACAAATGTTGAAAAATAATCTTTGTCTTCCCCAGATAAACTGGAGTTTTTTTTTTTAATTTGTAGTATTCTGCTTGTTATGTAATGAATACTCTCAGCATTTCAGCGGCTCAGCAGATAACATCCATCTCTCGTTCATATTAACTCTCCCGGACTTTCCCTTGTTGGCTGTGCTCGGCTCTGCTGAGCTCTGCCTGGCTCAGCTCTGCTCACGTCCCATGCGAGGAGCACAGGCCTGGCCCTGTCTGGCAGATAGGTCCTCTTGCAGGAAAGGGCATTATGAACTGGTCTGACACTTTAAGATCACCTCATCTTTATCTGACTAGTGTTAGGAACATCCTTCCGGTTAATGAAATGTATTTGTTTTGACAGAGGTCACCAATCCTTTGCAGATCATGTACAGTGTGTCCCAGGGACGTCGGCCTGACACGAGAGAGGAGAGCCTGCCGTTTGATATTCCTCATCGTGGTCTCATGGTCTCTCTGATACAGAGTGGATGGGCACAGAACCCAGATGAAAGGCCGTCTTTCTTGAGTGAGTGGACAGTTGTAATCTGGACCTTAAGTTATAGAAATTGTTAGTATACTGTAACTATTCCTTGAAAAACTATGCCGATCTGAAACTGTTCCATAAGTTACTTTGCCCTTGTTATTCGTTGTATTTATACATAGGTAATTGAGAATTTCTAATAGAAAGTGAAATTGTTTGGTAGGGGTAGCATTCTGTTCACTTAGAGAACACCTGCTCGTGCTGCCTCCTCACTGGATGAGCACAGGGAGCAGAGAGGAAGAAAACGACGCGTCGGGAGTAGCATTCTCCTGGAGAAAGTGCTGAGAAAACGAGTGGATACGTAGGACACAGGTCGTGGAGTCAGTCCTGTAAGGAAGCACAGCAGCGATAGCACAGAGAAAGTGGGGGGAGGGGCTGCCTGACACCTGGAGTCGCTCCAGCCAAGCAAGCATCCAGAGTCAAGATTCTGAGACTAGAAGAGGAAAGTGTTTTGTGTTTTCAAGGAATAAAGAGACAGCCCACGTCGCTAGAGCATAGCGAACCAAGATATGGTAAAGATGCCCTAGAGAGCAAAGGAGAGGCGCTCGCCACGCTCAGAGCTGGATTCCATGCACGGTGACAAGCCATTCTCACAGTCTCTTCTGGAGACAGTGTGATCTAATTTAAGTTCAGGTCAAAATCACTCGTGACGGCTGTATGGGGAAGTGACTAGGGGAGGCCAGAGAAGAACAAAAAAGCAGTTAGGAAACTCCCTCAGTAATTGTCTAGTTAAGGTGATAATTCTGGCCAGAGAAAAATTACTCAGAACTAAGATACATTTCGGAGGAAGAACGATCAGGCCTCTGAATGTAAACAGGAGAAAATCTTAAGACCTCAATTAGGCAAAGTTCTTAGATTCGAATCCAAAGAATCTAAAAATTTTTCACTAAATAAATAAATGTGGAGATTGAACTTTAAAATAATTAGAACGTTATACTCTAAGTCCCAGGCCGAGGAGCTGGCGCAGGGGAGAAACTGTGTTCCATACAAGCCTGAGGACTCTCAACACCCATATTATCTGTCCCATGTGCCGTGCTGGTGTGCAGCCTGCCTGTAATCCCAGCACTTGGGAGGTGGGAATGGGGTCCCCAGAACAAGCTGACTCCAAAAATGGAGAGCTCTGAGTTCAAGGGAGACCGACCCGGCCTCTGTATATAAGGTGTAGAGCAACCAAGACAGCCAGTGTGAACTGCTGGACTTCGCTGTCACACATATATGCAAACAGTGTGTTTACATCCCACACACAGTTGTAGAAGTAAATAAACTACTGAAATATGAAAGGACAAGATGCAGATGGTGGGAATATATTTGCATATCATATATCTATTAAAAGAACTTGTATGTGGAAATAAAAAGAATTCTGACTAATTCAGTAACAAGACAAATAATAAATTTTAAGTATTGGAGATTAGAGTTTCATCAGAGAAAATATACAATTGATGAAAAAGCATATAAAAGGGCTTTTTACATCACTAGGAAATACAAACAGTGAGATACCAATTGAAGCCCCATTAAAACAGCTACAGTAAGAAAGACAAATGACATATTGGTGTGATCGAAAGCAATGAAACCCTCAGGTATTGCTGATTGTGTATGCCTAATCATATAGGCATGCTTCATGTAACCAGCAAATAGAAGGAATTATAATTACTGTTACTACTTTAACAACCATATAAACATTTTTATCCAAGGAAGAATCTAGGATTTATGATATAAAATCAAGCATCGCTAGCTCACAAGTAATCTAGACTAGATCACCCTAGATAGGGAATTTAGCCTGACAGCAAAGAATAAAATGTCCATATTAGACCTCTGAGGCATTTCTCAGAAATTATGTAAAGGAACAAGAAAATAGCAAAGGAAGGAAACACACAGTGTGGTTTCATATGTCTAGGGAGGAGCCAGGAGGAAAGGAGAGCGTGGCCAGTCACGGCTATCTGTAAGTCGTGTGAGCAGGTCCCCAGCTGAGTGCAGCAGTAAGAGGCTAGAGCAGGAAACTCTGATGAACTCAGGAGTTTGAGGCCAACTCCGGTAATAAATACCCAAGTCCCTGATCTCAAAAAAAGAAGGAAAGATTTTTCGGACACTCATAATTGGTAACCCGTACAAATGTAACTTCTTCTTTTGAAAGATTTTTTTTTTAGTTTTGTGTTCTAACTAAAAAAGATTTTTAGTTTTCTATGTATCTGTGTGCGTGTATGTACAGCCGAGTACAGGTGCCTGCTGAGTCCAGAGGCCTTGCATCTCTCTGGAACTGGGGTGTCAGGCAGTTGTAAGCTGTCGGATGTGTGTTCTAGGAGCCAAACTTGGGTGCAGGAACAGTGTGTGCTCTTCACCCCTGAGCATCTCTTCAGCCCCACATGCAGTTTCATAGAGATGCGAGAACAGAAACTGGTGCTGATGTGTGCAAAGTAGATGTACTAGACATGCAGACCAGGAGGACGCTTCAGACTTTACATGTGTTCTCTTCCTCCCTCCCTCTCGTGTGTGTGTGTGTGTGTGTGTGTGTGTGTGTGTGTGTGTGTGTATGATGTGTGCAAAGTAGATGTACTAGACATGCAGACCAGGAGGACGCTTCAGACTTTACATGTGGGCGACTTTTGAGACTTGTTTCTTCCCTTCCTCCCTGGTGCTGGGATCAGCTAAGGCAGTCAGGCTTTTACCCGCTGGCCTCTGCTGGCCCAGCCTTAAGAATTCTTCACACGTTGTGTCTTGTCAGACTCAAGTCCATTAGCAGATATGCGGCTTGACTGTCCTCCCCTACTCCTAGTCTGTGCCTTTGCATTTTTTTTTCTTAAGAATAACTATTCTCTAGAGTACAATTTTCAAAATTGTTTTTGAAAGTCCAGTTGTCAGATTTTTATGAATCTTATTTTTGATGTCATATCTAAGAAATTTCCCTAACTCAAGGTTTTGAATATTTTCTCCTGTTTCTATTCAAGTGAACGGTCGATTTTTGACTCAATTTTTATGTATGGTGTACGGGAAGAGTATAAATGACCTGTTTTTCTGTGGTTATCTAAATGTCTGAGTATAGTTTATTTTGAAAGACTGTCCTTGCCTTGTGGAATTTAAGGCCCTCTTTTGAAAGTCAGATTACCAGAATTTTAAGGAATCGTTTCTAGGCTACCGACTCTGCTCTGTTGATCATCAGGTCTGTTTATGCCAGCGATAAGAACTCCTACAATTGGATGTCATCACGTTAGTGAAGGATTGACATGGAGCCTTAGAAGATAAATGCTAACATTTCAGCTTATTTATTAGAAGCAACGTGAACTTAAAATTGTTGAGTTTTGTTTTGTTGTTTTTTCTTATTTAGAATGCTTAATAGAACTTGAACCGGTTCTGAGAACATTTGAAGACATAACTTTTCTTGAAGCTGTTATTCAGTTAAAAAAAACAAAGGTAAATCTCCTTTTGACATTTCGTAACTTAGAATTGTAAACAGCTGTGTGTCACTCATGTTTTAATTTAGTTCCCAGACACAGGCTAGAGTTAGGAGGCGGGAAAATTGCCAGGGGCCATGATTACTACCTTTTCTTTGTCACCAGTGGGTAATCGCACTTCATTCTAATGGGCCACCTTCAGACGTAACAATTTCAGAACTCTCGGCACATCAAATGTGAGCTTAGAATGTGTACTGAAGGCCCTGTGTACAACAGACGGCCTGCGTCACTCACCGCAGGTGAATGTGATATGTGTTGGTCTGTATTTACTTCTGCTAAGTGTTAGTACCTGCAGAAGATGAGTTCTTGCTCTTCCTTGAGTTTTTCTGAGATTTATTGTCAAGTAAAGCAGTAGCATTTATGCTCCAGTTGAGCCCCCAAATTGTACTTCTGTTGTTTGCTTTTTACTTTGTTTTCTCACTCAAATACTTCACGTTACAGAGACTGAACTGTCAGTGACGTTCATGGGCATGACCAAGGGCAGCTGTGTGGTCCGTGTACTTTCGTGGATCAGCTCCGCTGAGGATTTACACAGCAACCGTAGCTCCTTAGAGCACAGCGAGCGTAGGCTCGCACTCGCTAGGTCTCAATGAGTTGCACTTTAGATGTGATGGAAAACTGCCAGCTAGCCAAACTCTTGGACGATGAACAAGCACAATCTGCAGTTCCTTGTTGACTGAGTTTGCTTTCCGCTCCTGGTTTGCTGGGCCTCCTAGCCTAACTTGTCATGCAAAGATTAGTATGTAAAAGAAACAGTCACTCATCATCAAAATTAAGATTTATCATACAATATTAGATTCCAAGTTTTAGGAGGATCTGAAAATGAATTCCTTAAATTCGTTTCATAACTTCTCCAACTCCCCCATTTGGGGTTAGGGTACAGCCTTTTCCAGAGATACCAATGTCAATTCTAAAGTCTGAGACGGTTGCCTTTTGTCTTACCTTTCCTTTGTCTATTTTCTCCTTACAAGTTTCTCTCTTTCTCATCTCTTTCTAAGCAAAACTAGAGTAGGGACCTGGTGGTACCATCCTGTAATCCCATCTACTTGGGTAGGCTAAGAGAGGAGGATTGCAGAGTCAAGGTGTACCCGGGCTACAGTGTGAGCTCAAAGCCAGCAAGGGTAAGTTAGCTTTACCTGTCTCAAAATAGAAAGTAAGAGGAGGGAGGGGACTTAGGGGTATAGTTCAGTGGTAGATCATTAAACAAACAAAACAAAACAAAAAAGAAATAGGAAGAAAATACAAAGAACCACCCCACATCCTTTTTGTCTCCAATTTAAACACTAGGATCCGGTATATGCGATTTAATGTTTAGAAGTTTGTCTTCCTAAGTAACGTGTGTGTTTTCAGGCAGTTTAGTGAACCCATGACGGACTCATCACTGTTATTATGTCACAGTATTATTGATTTTCACATGAAGTTGTAGTTGGGGGTGTTCAGAATTCTAGTTTCTTCAGCTGGGATTATTGCAGTCTGGATGTTAGTAACTTCCATAATACCCACACAAACAGGGGCACTAGCAATAGAATAGAAATGTAAGAGCCAAGCGTGGTGTGTGCCTCTAGGCCCAGCTCCTCTAGCAGTAGAGGCAGCAGAGTTGAGTTTGAAGCCAGGCCAGAAACATGAGCAACATAATGAGATCCTGTCTGATACAAACACACACATACACACCTCATATTTCTCTATTTAGAATGCCTTGCCTTTGCATTTTCTGTATTTTCAAATTCTCTTAACCAGCTCTTATCTACTTGAATTTTTCCAAGTAAATGTTTCTTGAAAAATAAAAACTGAACCCAAAAAGTTTTCTATAATACTTTCTTATATTTCATCTTTGGAAATGATTCACTAGTCCACAAATAATTTGAATTATCATATCATATATACTAGTTATAAAAATAAGGTATCACTAAGAAAACAATATATTATAAATGTTTCAGCAAAACTTTACATAACAGACATAGCCAAAAAATAACTTGAAGATACATGTAAAATTGCATGTACATCAGGTGTGGTGGAGCACGTCTTTAATCACAGCACTTGGGTAGCAGAGGCAGGTGGATCTCTGAGTTCAGTAACAAAATCCAGGTCCTCAAGGTTACATGGTCTAAACACATACACTGACTGAACTAGCGAGCGTTCACAAGTGATGGACTAGGTCTGTTATATACATAGCTGGATATGAGTCTTTCTTCTGACTGGAACAGGAAGTGGTAAAGGGGACAATGGAGGGCTGGGGGCAGAACCCACTGGTTTCTAAAGTTCTGAAGAACAATTACTATTATTTTGGTATTGAGAGGAAAAATAGACGTAGCAATCAGTGGTAGTCCAGAAGCTGAGGCAGGTGGATTGCTGTGATTTTGAAGCCAGCATGGTCCCTGACTGTTGGGTGATAGTCTCTGTCAAGTGTTGCGGCAGGGGCTAGGCTCCCAAGTCTGTGTTTAAGTGACTTAGTAGTGATGACAACTTGTCTAATCCTAGTTTATGGAGCCAAAAGTGAGTCATACTTATACTATAAGTATAAATTTACAGTACTAAGATAACCAAATCACCTGCTTAGCAGCTCTCTTTTGCTGAATACCTGTGAATAAGCTTAGAGCCGTTTTGCACGCATTACTTCTAATTCTCCTTACAGTAACCCTGCAAAATGGGCACCCTTGTCTCATAGATAAATAGGAAAAGCTAATGTTAAGTTTCATCGCCCACCCCATGCACATGCAAGCAACCCTAATTAAACTCAGTGGGCTGTTTGTTTGTTTTGATGATTATTTAAGACAGGAAAGTGGGACAGAGGACTAGATGAGAGGTAGAGTTCAAAAGGGAGCAGGTGGGACATAGAGAGGGGATGGAGAGATGACTGTGACCCCAGTACATTATATACATTTGGGTCAGATAGTTACAAATCCTGGGGCTCTAAAGTTGGTCATGACCCCCCATTCCATAGTAACACACCACCAGCTTTGTATTGTCCCTGCCTTGGCTTCTTATCAATACGGTAAAGACAGCCATAGGACTAGAGCACAGAGCTCAGAATGCACTTCTGCTCAGTAACAACTATGGATAGATAGAACACATAAGTACCTGTGTTTAACCAAGTGCTTTGTTACCTCAATCTTCAAACAATCCTGTCTGCAGGACTTTAAAGATGAAGCTGCGAGACACTTGAGGGGTAGTATTTACTGACATCAGTCAGCTGATACGAGGCAGGATGAAAAACCTGTTCCCTAAGCATCTCTTGCTGGACACCGTCACTACCTAATTAAGTTACAGATTCTCAAATGATTTAGATTTTGTTTCCACTGATTTTTGTGTAAAAAGAAAACATGTGAAGTAGATTGTGTATACTTCTGTGATTCCTAACTAAAGCACCCATGTGTGTGTTCACTTCAGATACAGAGTGCCTCCAGTACTATTCACCTCTGTGATAAGAAAATGGATTTATCGTTGAACCTACCTGCAAACCACGCTCCACAAGAGGTACAAATATATATATCTGTTATTCATACCCAACTGAATGTGAGAAGAATGTTAAAGTGCCGTGTGGTCTGGGAAGCTAACGTCCAGGGAGTGTTATACTTTGTTAGGGAGCCATGACAATCTCTAACCTGAACTCCCATCAGTCCGACACGATGGTCTAGGGTAGTGTACAAGTAAAAACCATCAGTAATTATTGCGCCACTGTTCATACCTCCCGGCCACCTCACAGTCAGTCATTACAGAAGTTTCTGTTGTTCCCCAAGAGGTATTTCTCTAACTGATCATTTTATGAATCATTTAAGATTAGATTATATGTCCCCTTCATAAAAGTTCATAAAAGTAATAGTACATTCAGGAGATGATGTTAGCACAACACATAGAGGGGTTTTACATTTGTTTATACAGTGTGTGCATATGTGTATGTGTCTGATTCAAAGCATAGCTTGCAGAAATCATTCTCTCCTTTGCTGTGCAGTTCCCAAGGATCAAATTGAGATCATCCTCTTGGCAGAAGCCCCTTTTCCCCACTGAAACACCTCACTGGTCCAAATACATAATTTCAAAACCACTTTTATATAAACTATCTAATTGGATCCTTGAATATATGCTAATTTTTGATGGAACCTAAAGACTACAGTGTTTCAATGTATTGTTGAAGGGCAGTGAGCAATCCATGGCAGATATGGGAGTGAAGATCTCTGTGATTTTTCCAAGGGTTTTGCATCCCGTCACGTTGAGAGAACCTAAGAACAAGCATTTGCTCTAAATCAGTAGACAGCCATGAGTTTCTGGTTCACCATTATGGCCGCTGAACAGATCCACTGAATTCTGTAGGGTCTATAATTATTTTCAGAACATAACTATTGCCCCATCCCTTCCACTTAAGATGGTTTAAAAGAATTAAATTTAGAGGTTGGGGATGTAGCTCGATAGGGCACTCACTTAGCATGTGTAAGGCCCTAGTAGTAGGTTTGATCCCTAGTAGAGATGGAGGTGAGAAAGAAATTGAGTGTATTTGTGATGGTTTTCTGTTATTTCTTTGGTTCTGTAAACTATAATTTATGGTGGTTCTGGGTCTTTGTTTTTATAAGCCAAAGGCAAGTACAGCCTAGAAGCCTTAGCTGTGTAACTTTAAAGATGGTACCTTTCCACAAACGTTCATGTAGACAGCTCTGCTCACCTGCCGGTCCTCTGTCTGTTTCAGGAATCATGTGGATCCTCTCTGCTCTCCAGAAACACTGGTTCTCCTGGAACCTCCCGGTCCCTGTCAGCTCCTCAAGACAAAGACTTTTTGTCTGGTATGCCAGTTGCCCAGTCAGTATCGTTAGCAACTTTTCCACTTTCTTTCGAGGCCGTATCGTTAGCAAACAGTGGTGTGCATGGAACACACTTCATTTGCATTCATGCTCCGCTTTCTCTGTGAGTGACAGGTCTGTACACATGGAGGTAGCAGTGGGATGATAGGCAGTCTGTGATCACAATGGAAAGGATTTGTTTTCTTAATATCACAATAAAAGAGATAAATGTTTCTAAATTACCATAGTAACTATATTTTAAGAAGGATTATGAATATATATATATATTAATTACAGGGAACAAGATACATTCTTTACAAAGTACTTTTAATAGCCGTGTGAGGGAGCTAGTCCTGCTTTTACAGATTCTGAACTCTGGATCCCCCAGCAAGTAGCTAGCAGATCCCAGACTTTCGTAAAGCCAGGCTTTTTGATAGATACTTCACGTCACTCCACTGTCCATGTCAACATGAAGGCTTTATGTCTGTTAGAGGCTGACCTCTTGTTATGACAGATGGGCCCTCCTTGGTAAAGAACATGAGTCCAGAAGCCCTAAAACAAACTAGCAGTGAGTAATTTAGCTTGTCTGGTAAATGGAGTGAATAAGAAGAGATAAAATATGAGGGGGATCACAGTCATATCTAGAATGCCGAGGGGCTGGAGAGATGGCTCTTCCGAGGACTTGAGTTCGATTCCCAGCACCCACACGGTATCTCAGAACTGTCACAACTCCAGAGTTATCCTATTCCGGCCTCCATAGGCACCAAGAATGCACAGTGCACAGACATTAAAAAAAGTAAAGAAAAAAATAATTTCTGCACTCAGTTAAGGTAATTTAGACTTTTAAGTTCAGTAGGTAATTCTTGAGGAAATATAAAATAAGAATTTTTGCTTTAGGAAGGCTCATCCTGTTGGGAATATATACGATTTTTTTTTGTTGTTGTTTTTTGTTTTTTTTTTTTGTTTTTCGAGACAGGGTTTCTCTGTGGCTTTGGAGCCTGTCCTGGAACTAGCTCTGTAGACCAGGCTGGTCTCGAACTCACAGAGATCCGCCTGCCTCTGCCTCCCAAATGCTGGGATTAAAGGCGTGCGCCACCACCGCCCGGCAATATATACGATATTTTGAAGTTATCTTTATTTATTGTTTGTGTGTATGTGAGGTGGCGGGGCAGCACAGAGAGAGCCGCACAGGCCACAGTGCGTATGTGGAGGTCAGAAGGCAGCTTTGGGGAGTCAGGTATCTCCTTCCACTGTGGATTCTGGGAATCAGATTCTGGTGAAGCAAGGGCTTTGATGCACTGAGCCCTCGTGATGGCCGTCGTGATGGCCGTGTAGACGCTACCTGAAAATGAAGAGGAGACTTGGAGGAAGGACAGTGACGAGCAGGAGAGTGTGAGAGATTAGGTGACTCCCATGCTTTACGACTTCTCATTTGAGCAGCTATGAGAACAGATGAAGCTGAGTAAGTTGTTAACCTGGAAAACCACCACAGCTGCTAGAGCAAAGAACCGAAGTGGAGGTTAGAGTTAAGGCAGGTGGTGATTATGGTTTTAATTTTTCTTACTTTATTTATTGTTTGTCTGAGAAGCCATCAGGAAGCATTGGGGCGATGTGCAGAATGTTGGAGACACTGAGTTCAGTAATGACATCAAGATAATTACATGAACTTGAAGGACCGATAAACAGTTGGAACACTTAGATTGTTTTCTAGAGGAGAAAGGAGAAAACATGTCAAATACAGACTTCTTACACTTAAAAGTCTGTGTATCTTACAGACCTAAGCAGTTTTAAACTGGAAAAGGAGGAATTCACAGGGCAGAAGTATCAGACTATGAGAAGAACGGAAATCTTAGGAGTTATAGTAATCAGCAAGCACTAACAGTAGTAAAAACTCTTGGGTGTAAATGCTTATTTCCCTGGAAAGGTTCGCAGAGCTGTGGGTCAAGTGCTTCCAGCCCAGCCTGCAGCCTGAACCTGGTCCTCAGGACTCACGTGGTAGAAAGAGCACTGATTCCCACAGGGTGTCCTCTACCCTCCACACACACACAAGTAAATGTCATTGAAAAAACTTAACCTATGTTCAGCATTGGGTTTCTGATTTCGTATTCCCGCTAGGACTATCTAGTGAGTGCTCTACCCTAATGACATGTCCTGTAGGAGGACCTCAGGACTGCTCCTCGTTGAAGCTGCGTCACTGTCCTGGAAACCACAGCTGGGACGGCACCGTTTCTGCGTCACAAAGGGCAGCCGTCTGTGAGCACAGAACCACCCTGTGCTCTCTGGCTATAATAAATCCACTGCTGGCTGAGAAAAGTGCAGGTGAGTGTATGCTGCAAGGTGCACTCAGATGCTGGCATTTCCCTTACAAGTGCACACACCGCACAATGAGCCTTCTTAGTGTTAAGTAGGAAAGCTTCTCCAGCCTCATGCTGACATGTCTTATTAGGGCCAGGTGTACTCCAGGAGTCTCCAACTGGGAAGTGTCAAGAGGAAACTTTACTTACTATGTTAGTATCGGTGAAGCTATTTTTGATTATTAGATATGTAGGCATCCCTTATATTTTAAACAAAACATAAAAGTCATTTTGGCTGACAGCATAGCATATTAAAAATACATGATTCTCCCGGGAAGGTGAATGTAAGATAAAATGCAAGTCTCTAAATAATGCCTGGAAAAATAAGCATTTAAAAAAAATACTGTTTAATACTGGCACAGTCATACAGAAATGTGTGCTCTGCTTATTCATATGTATACAGAATAATACTGTGTTGCAGGGAGGCCGCTTATTTCTTTCCTAGCTGCTCAGCCCTGAAATAATCACACAGAAGCTGTATTAAGTAAATCAACACTTGGCCCATTAGCTCCAGTTTCTTATTGGCTAACTCTTACATATTAATTTAACCCATTTCTATTAATCTGTGTATCGCCACACGTCTGTCTCCAGAGGGGCTACATGGCTTCTCTCTGACCCTGCCCTCCTTTCTCCCAGCATTCAGTTTATTTTTCCCCACCTAGCTCTGTTCTATCCTATCAGAGGCCAAACCAGTTTCTTTATTCATTAACCAATAAAAGCAACACATAGACAGAAGGACCTCCCGTGTCCATACTCATTGCATGTGTCTGCCCTCAACTTTGTATGTTGTTCATGCTCTGCCCCTCTACAGAGCGTCTCCAGCCTGGTATAGCCCAGCAGTGGATCCAGAGCAAGAGGGAAGACATTGTGAGCCAGATGACGGAGGCCTGCCTTAACCAGTCACTGGATGCCCTTCTGGCCCGGGACTTGATCATGAAGGAGGACTATGAACTCATTTGTACCAAACCAACAAGGACCTCAAAAGTCAGGCAGTTACTAGACACCAGTGACATCCAAGGAGAGGAATTCGCCAGAGTTATAGTACAGAAGTTGAAAGACAACAAGCAAATGGGACTCCAGCCTTACCCGGACCTGCCTGTGTTTTCCAGAGCACCATCGTCAAATTTCCTTCAAAATAAAAGCTTGTGAGTGAGTTTTTGAGAGGAAAGTCAGTTTACAAATGGTTATTTATATGTCTGTTACCTGGATAATATTTGTATAAATACATAAGTGTATTGGATGCTTCACTGAAGGTTTTTTGGAAGAGATGAGTATGTCCCCTTCCATGACATTGCAGTATTTTTTTTAAATTAATATAAACTTTTGCATCATGCCGTGTAGTTCAGTTTTTTTTATGTCGGCTTCATTACTTGAACCTTTTTACGTAATAACTACGTTTTCTTGGACATCACAGTGCCTTAAGGTAAGCCTTTGTTTCTGATGGAAGACATTTCTAAACTCCCTTCCTCTGTAGCCTTCATTGTTCCTCTAAAGTGCATTTTGACTTTATGTAGCAGAGATACAATATTCCCACTCTGCAATCCCAAATTCAGATCCCCAAAGAGTTACTCCTTTTTTAAAGCTTATCCACAAAAATTTTAGAAGGTTGTTTCAAGGTACACACCGTGTATAAAGAAGACCAAAACAGTCTTTATTACCACTGGCCTTCCATCCCGCCTCTGCCTCCCCTCCGTCAGCAGAGTGAGCAGCCCCGTGTGCATTTGACGCAGCTGCTTTCTGCTCCTGTCTTGGGCACACGCCGGTTGAATAGAGGCCGGTCCTGTTGCTGTTTTCCTTGTTGCACACTGCAGGGTGTCGCAGGTCCGGTCTCCCAGCTGAGAGGCGCATCTGACTCAGTCTGTTCAACTCCCACACAACAGGCAAGCTGCTCCGGTTTCTATTTTCTAAGCTTGTTCATACCAGCATCACCACAAACAATAAAAGGACAGTACAATGTGAGTATTTTTTCCCTTGGGCTGCTAGCTTACATCACGAAAGGGAACCCCTTAAGAAGTGATACCTTCTTCTGAAAACTGTGTAGCCCTGTTAGTGAAAAGTGAGAAACAGGATAAATTTGAAAACGCAAGCTTGTGAAATGCACCAGACTCAGAACCTGAAAAACTATGAATAAAGAATAAAAGGACTTAAATGGCATTTAGACAATGAAAGCGTCTGTATTTGCAATAGGAATTTAAGCTCCAGGGTTGGGGAGATGGTGCAACACTTCAGACACTGACTGTTCTTGCACAGGACAAAGATCCTCCCAGCACCCATATGACAGCTCATAGCCATGAGTAATTCCAGTCCCAGCAACCTAAACTCTCTTCTGGTCTCTGGCACCAGGCACATACTCAGTGCGCTTACATGCAGGCAAAACACTCGTACACATAAAGTAATAGGGAAAATTTTTTAAAGAATTTAAATTCCATTTTAAAATGACATTAATCTATGGTCTGACCCCTATGGGACTTCCAGAAACACATAAATTTATAGGGAAATATGAAAATTAGATTTATGAGTTGTCTTAAATTCTTTTTAAAAAATTAAAATAGAAACATAGGTGTAGTGGCACACACCTGGTATCCTAGAACTTTGGAAATGGAAGCAGACAGTTCAGAGTTGACCTCAACTACCTAACAAGTTCAAAGCCAGCCTGTACTATCTGAAATCTTGTCTCCAATAAGTAAACAAACAATAACAAAAAGATTAAATTTAGGGGGGGAGAAAAGTAGGGTTTTTTGTTTGTTTTTTTAAGATTGGTTTTACTCTCCATGCCTGTCCCTCCTCCCTCATGTGTGTGTGTTTAAAATTACCTTTTAGAATAGAGATGCCCTCAGCTGAGTATTGTTGGTGCATGCCTTTAATCCCAGCACTCAGGAGGCAGAGGCAGGAGGATTGCCTGGTCTACAGAGCGAGTTCTAGGACAGCCACGGCTGCACAGAGAAACTCTGTCTCAAAAAAATAATAATAATAATACTGATGCCCAAAAATGGACTTTTATACTGATGTATGTGGTTTATGTAAATTGATAAGATGAACTCTGTCTGCCCTGGTCTTCCACTTACTACGAAGTCTCAGTTCATGGTGTGTGAGCCTCCATCTGTAGTTACGTGCTTGTTACCCACCGTTTTTCTCTGGTGATTTACTGTAAGGAAGACACGGGTGTAGTCACCCACCCATTGTCACAGCCGGAACAAACTCTACATGAAGACACATACTGACCAGTCATAGTGGTGCTGAGGATCCGGACGAATGTGCCGTGAGCGCCTCTCTGCACAGAATGAAATCTCAGCCGAGGATTGTCACTGCGACCTGATGTTTGCATGTCTGTGTTTCGAGGGGAGGTGAAACACTGCTGAGTGTGACCAGTCAGCACAGAGGGAGGCCTGGCATGATGCCGGCACTCTTTAAATAGCTCATGAGTACAGAGATGAAGACTGCGGAAGGGAGCGAGATGCTCCCTGTGAGACTCACTTCCCAAAATGCATGCAAATACAGTGGATGGTAGGTAGAACAAAGAGTCAGAACTTGTTCTCCTTTGAGCCACATAATAAGGTTTTTGTTTTGCTGGTTTTGAACCCTCTTGTTAAGGAAAGGAAAAGGGCTTAATTTTGTGCCAATTGTGTGTGTTTCGTTTTAATCGCCCTTATTAAAGAAGAATAGAGTTCAAGCACAGAACTTCACAAACAACATCCAGCAAGAATTTTATAATTATTTGTAACTTTCCCTTCAAAGAAGACTTTCTATACAGGAGGAATGGTACTGGTTTTCTCTGTGATATAATGTGTAAGGTTTTCTAATACACAAATCAAATGACAGTGTAAAGTATAAGTAAATTATAGTAAAGACAGTTCTTTAGCAGGCTAGCAGTTACTGAAATAGCAGAAGGAAATGTGAAGATCCAGTCACCCCAGGGCAGCACGGATGGTGTCTGTAACTAGACAGTGCTGGATGGAGGTGGTGTCTTTGTAGTGCCCAGCGCCCTACAAATACAGTCCAGAGTCAGCATCACGTGGTTCGCAAGGAACTTAAGTTCATGGCCTCCTGTGTGGGGCTGAGGTCCAGCAATGTTTTAGCAGGCCGTGTAAGCAGTTCTTACCGTGGCTAGCATTCAAGACTCTTGTTTGTATGGAACAAAATATAAAATAATTTTTCCTTAGGCTCACAGATCTCTCTTCGTGATGTCTTTTTTGCCACATTTGTCTTGAGAATGTGTAGTCTCTGAACTAAGATTTGGATGGAGAAGTTTAGGTTATGCCCCCATCTGACATTCCTGTTGGTCGGGTTGCATTTTGGAAAGGCCACCTAACCACAGTATTCAGGCCAGAGTCACTTCCTCACCTCAGCTCTGTGGAAGAGCTTCATACGGGACAAACACTTCAGTCCTGAAAGCAGAGGAGGCGTGCTGATGCAGGAAGACCCTGAGGGAGGTTTGCTTGATGGAAGCCAAGCTTTTTATATTTTATATATATATTTGTTCTCTGAGAATTTGACACATCCACAATGAAATGTGATCCCCTCATCCCCATCTTCCCTCTCCATTTCTCTCACCATATACAAATACCTCCCTGCTGCTAGCCTCTTGTTTTCTGTCATTTCCCTATGAATCCAGTGAGTGCCGCCTGTGGGCGCATGGCTGTGGATTTAGTGGGAAACATCCCCGGAGTGCCGGAAACCGACCAGGGGCTGCAACCACCAAGAATCTCCCTCAGGCTGGTGTTTAATCCTTCAGTAATCTAAACACCAGCAGCGTGCTCGCGAAGTTCTGCATTTTCTAATTCATGAAGAAAAGTTATGGCGGTTGGGACAGGAGGAGAATTGATAGCCGTTTATGCTGAGCCATGCTCACAAGCATCTCAGTTTTCCGCGTACCTTATCATCTCTGACGTCATACCTTCTGTGTATCATAGAGACCAGTTCCCAGATTACCTTACTTTTCCCCTCTCTCAATGACATTATTTCTTTTTCATCTCAAGGACCCATATTCCTTGTGAAAGCAAAATTCCTTCACTTGGCCTGTCTATCTCTACTGATTTTTTTTCCTGAAGCATTGACAATCCCTTTCTAAATTGTTGTTTAAGGAGCCGTGTCGGTCTTGTAAATTGCTTAAAATTTAATGTCATGTAATTAATGAATGGATTTCAAATGGACGAGGCATATCTGGTGCTCCAAGCTCCTCTACAAAAACCGCTAATGCTCCTGGATGTTATAGTTAAATACAGGTGACTCTGGGCAGTGTCAAGCTGATATCTAAGGCTAACTCAGTCACCATCCATAACTGCATTTTACTATTGTAGAAATTAAAACTTAGAAAGCAAAAAATGTACTAGTTTACAAAAAAAATAGCAAAAGAGCCACTGTATAAAAACAATGGTGAGAAGTGTGTTGTAGCTCACTTTAAGGAAAATAAGTAGAGGGAAGCTGTTTTCTCATGCCTGCCCTCAATCTGTTCAAAGTCGCCCTCATGTAGCCCAGGGGGAGCCCCACTTCTACACGTGAAGGCGTGGCAATGAGCAGAAACCGGGGTCCAGCACCTGTGTAAGAAGTAGACTGAAGGCAAAGAGCTACAAAATTTCATTCCCTAGACCGGGTGTAACCACTGTAATTAGTGACACATGAACTGTAGTTACCTGAGCTGGGCCCACAACCAGCTGTATGGACAATTAGTCAAGGAATGGGGAGAGTTCACAGGCCTCTACTCTTCCCCTCTGCCCGGTGAGAGTCACTGTCTTTACTTCTATACTCCCTGCTGAGCCTACCAGACTCTGAGGACAGCTCCACACCCACGGCCACACAGATGGCGCTGGTTAATCTTCATGGGTTATAAAATAAAACGAATAGGCATAAAACTGCATTGTGGCCAGGCACGGCGGGGAGGCTCTCTGGTGGCTCTCACCTTTGCGTCTCCCTGGTCACTCGTTTATGCAATCCTCGATCATTTAATCTGCCTGTTGCCTGAGCCACTCCCCTGAAACTGCTCTTGCCCCAAATGACTAACACATCCTCTTTGTTCCTAAACCTAGGAAGCTTTCCAGACCACGTGATGTGGCGGAACACTCCCTCCTTAGCTAGTGGTTTCTAGGGATGGAGAGCACTGCAACCCTCTGTGCTTTGCTGCTGCAGTGTGGTTCTCTCCTGGTCCAGGACTTTAGGAATTCTTCGCACTCCATGTTCAGTATGAGCCTTCCTGTTTTGGTTACCGATATCATTTCCCTGACCAACCACATTCCCTTCAAAGGTCTTAATTACCACCCAGACACATTCCAAGTCTCCCGAAGTCAGCCCTTTGTCTTTTACTGGCTGGTTTTGTGTGTCCACTTGACACAAGCTAGAGTCATCAGAGAGGAAGGCACCTCAGCTGAGGAAATGCCTCCATGAGATCTAGCTGTATGGCAATTTCTCAACTAGTGATCAGCGGTGCAGCGAACAGCCCATGGTGGGTAGTGCCGTCCCTGGACTGGTGGACCCAGGTCTGTTAGATAGTGGATTGAGCAAACAATGGAAGCCAGCTAGTAAGCAGCTCCCCTTCACGGCTTCTGCAGCAGCTCCTGCCTCCGGGATCCTGCCCTGTTTGCGTTCCTGTCCTGACTTCCTTCGGTGATGAACAGCAATGCTGAAATATAAGACGAATAAACCCTTTCCTCCCCACCTTGTGTTTTGGCCGTGGTGTTTCATCGCCGCAATAGAAACCCTAAGTGAGACAGACTTGCACTTCAGACCCACTATGCGCTATTCCTGCCCACGCCACTCCTCCACAGGAAACTCCACATTCCAAAACTGACCTTGACAGTCCTCACCACCACTACACCCAAAACCTGCTTCTCATGCTTCTTTTCCCAGGGAATGATATCGCCAGCAACTGCCCAATTTGGATCTTCTGACCCTCTGCTTTCTCTTTCCTCTACTTTCAAAATGCCCATCATTCGTACCCAAACAAGTCCCTGCTATCTCCAGAGGATCTCTTTGTTTTGCTAACTTTCTCCATCCCTGTTGCACGTCCATATTTCTAATAGACAGCATCCCCTTTCCAGCTATCTGGAACTTAAAAAGTCAATTCACCCAAGTTACACGCTAGCGCAACAGTTTAGTGGCTTCTCGTAGTTTTATTTTATAGTCTTGTGAAATCTGAGTTTTCCAATCTCCAAGCTCAGACCACACCCCCTCCTTGCTTGCTCCTCTGAAGCTTATGACATCATCTTTCTTCCTTTCATAAATGGATCCTTGTGAGGATCTTTTCCCACCTTCTTACTCTTCAATTCTCATCTCAGTCCTTGTCTCCTCTGAAGACCATCCCTGAGCAACCTCTAAAACACAGCTACTCTCTGACATCACTCCGCATGTTCCTTTAATACTATACCTTGAGGTGTAAATAATTGGTTTGATTATGTATTGTCTATTGGCCTTATTCTCCATAAACACATTCCATCTATGTGTTTCCATCTAAGATAGAACTATGTCTATCTTAGTCTAGGAATTTTATAATTTAACATTTCCTAGAAGTTCAAAAATATCTGTTGAATGTGACTGTATGTTTCCCCAGTAGAGTTCAGACACTAGATCCAGATACAACGGTGACGTCTGTCTCTTCCCCTTACTACCACCCATTCATGGCTCTATGCCCCAGAACATAAAGATTCAAGACCTCCAAATTCTGGCTTCTACCTTCCTGGCCTTCTCACTTCCATAAAGGCTTCAATTGCATTTGACTCACTCAGGCCGTCTGATATGCCCCACGTTTCTGGGAGTCCTAGTACCTCAAGAGTCCCTTTCCTTTTCAAGTTATACTAAACTTCTCTGAAAGGTCTCATTTTTCTTATTTTAAATCTACCGTTAAGCCAACCATGCTGAGCCTGGGTTATGAGTCTCCGGATGTAGCTCACTTTTCTCACTGACGAAAGTCAGAGTATTTCAATCTAGTCCTAAGAATCCGTGAAGGCCACCACTGATGACCAAAGAGATTTTATAGATGTGATTCAAGTGGAGGATCTAGAGGGAGGGAGATCTTGGAGCGCACACGAAATGCAATCACAAGTGTCCATAGAGGAACGAAGAGGCGTTACTACAAAGGAAAGGAGCCATGTGAACAAGGAATGAAGAAGGTAGTTGAAGATGTCTCACAGCCATCTTTAAGATGGACAAGGATCCAAGAGCCAAGGAGTGCAGTTCTGAAAGTTGAAAGAAAGAAACTGATTGCCACTCAGTCCTAACAGAAGGAACTAGTGTCGCAGACAACTTGACATTAGCCCAAGGAAATCATCTTGGTACTTTCTACCTCTAGAATGGACAGGAATAAGCCTGTACCATTTTAAGTCTCTGAATTCATAGTA